CCTATACAAGAGGTAAGGCTTTGCTTAAAACGACTTAGCTGTGTTTCCAGTTGGCAAATGGAGCCTGATGCTAGGTGCGCAAGCTGTAAAGGAATTGTTGGAAATGAAGTTGACTCGATGTGGACTCCTTAAGGTTTCCCGCTATGGATATAGTTTTGACTTGGCCCTAAGGCCAACGTTTCAATGATGCTACCATTGGTCACCAGAGGTCGCAGAATGTTGATGTTTGTTTGTTTAGTAGTCAGACGCCGTTTGTGTCAATCGTGATTGTTTCAATCCAAATCGCGTCGTATAACTGGAATTGATTTCTCATTTCGACACTTCTTCCCGCTGTGTGAGACCATTATGTTCAGACAAGTAAGGCGGAGGAGACAAAGCGGAAGCCAAAGGCAGCTAAGAGAGGGGGCGAGGAGTAACGGAATGGAGAAAGTAGTGAAGTGGAGGAAGACACACTCTCACCTATCCGCTCACGTGTCCTCCATCCACAGTGAATGGGGCGAGTCCTCGCCCACCACCGCTGACAGACGCCCTATTAACCAGCGATCAAGAGAAACAGTCAATAATTGATCAAATGCTTGAGAAAGGAAGGATGGATAGATGCACTGCATCAATCCTTCTCCTCTTTCTTTTCTCACCACGTCAGCAGCTGTGCCACAGTGGCAGTGGCAGCAGCAGCCTGCCTGTGAGGAATGGTTACATTATCTCACTTCAGTGGTGGTTCCTGCCCATCAAATTGTCTCGTTGTTGTTGCTGTTGATGCCGATGTTGAAGATTTCGGCTTGGATGCCTACACACAATGGTGACAAGTGTAGCAGTAAGTGTGTGCCAAAATTTGCCCTCATGAGGCCAATGTCTCTTCCTTCTACCATGAAGGCGATCGGCCTCAATCACCGGCTGTATCTTCTTCCTTCTTTATTCTCCCATCCCGTGCTTCCACATCTCCCTCTTCATCCATTATCCCCTACCTCGGAGAGACCTTTACCTTCCATTGCAACCGCCGCCGCCACCACCACCACCACCGCTACCTCCACTGCCATCTTCCCAGCCCATAACCACCTCAATACCATGTTGAGGCATTTGCACCTCCACATTCAAGTCCTCTTCCCTCCCCATTTCTGCCGTTCTCACCTCCACATCCACCTCCGAACGCTGCTGCTGCTGCTGCTACCACTGTCTCCTTGCATCCTAATGACTGGTAATCTCGCTCAGCCC